ATATATATATATATATATATATACAGGTACAGAGTGTAAAATAAAACTGTGCTGGAGGTTTTATATCAGTGTTGTGCTGTAGTGAATCACTGGAGGAGAGGAGGAGGAGAGAGAGAGAGCGAGTAGGAAACTGAAAGAGAGAGAGAGAACAGGGAACAGAAAGAGAGAAACAGACAAGAACAGAAGAAATAGCAGATCAGGTCTAGTACAGCTCTTCTGGTGAGTGTTTCTGCCTCTGTGATATTTTGATATTTTATTTTGCATTAGGTTCTTGTATATAGTAGCACGACGGACTGTCTAGCGTGTGTTCAGTTGCTCACGAGCGCATGTGTGTGAGTCAGCAAGAGTGTGTGTGAGTTCAGTCTTTCTGCTCAGAGCCGGGGCTGTTAGTACTGAGTCAGTAATCAGCAGTGCTCGCTGTGTTTTAGTCATGTGAGTGTTTTTTAAAGTCTACTGAATCTTTATTTTCTGTTTCTGTTTCAGTCATTTTTGGCTGTTTCAATTTAAAAGGAAACCATAAGCTTAATCTAAAGTAGAATAATGTATTAAAAAAGTGAATTTTAATGTCTTTATATTGTGTTTTATTGCGGCTTCATTTATTTTTTGTTAGCTACATTTTGACAGATTTTATTCATGAAAAAATGAAAATCTGCATTACTAAATTACAATAGGAACTTCATGAAAATCAAAATTCTCCTCAAATGTGATGATTCTTATCACTGCTGTTATTATTATTATTATTTATTACTATTAAACATTATGTTCACAGTGTTCTGATGTTGGTTAAAGGCAAATATTAATACTATAATAATTTAAAATACAAATAATGAAAAGACAGACAAAATAACTTCAGGAAAGTTTCAAAAATAAAAAAAATTGAAGAGGAAAAATATCAAAACAAAATCCAAAGTAATATATAATTCTAAAATAAAAAAGTAAATTAAGTAGATAATAGAAATTAAAGTTTTTAAAAATATGAAAAATAAATAATAAAAAATAATAATACATTCAAGTAAAAAAGAAGTGTATATATATACAGTTGTAGTCAGAATTATTCGCCCCCCCTTTTATTTTTAATTTTTATTTTTTTAAATATTTCCCAAATTATGTTTAACAGAGCAAGAAAATGTTCACAGTATGTCTGATCATATTTTTTCTTCTGGAGAAAGTCTTATTTGTTTTATTTTGGCTAGAATAAAAGCAGTTTTTAATTTTTTAAACACCATTTAAAGGACATTATTAGTAGCCCCTTTAAGCTATTTTTTTCGGATAGTCTACAGAACAAACCATCATTATACAATAACTTGCCTAATTACCCTAACCTGCCTAGTTACCCTAATTACCCTAGTGAAGCCTTTAAATGTCACTTTAAGCTGTATAGAAGTGTCTTGAAGAATATCTAGTCTAATATTATTTACTGTCATCATGACAAAGAGAAAATAAATCAGTTATTAGAGATGACTTATTAACACTATTATGAATTGAAATGTGTTGAATAAATCTGCTCTCTGTAAACAGAAATGGGGGAAAAAATAAACGGGGGATAATAATTCTGACTTCAACTGTACGTATAAGTGTGTGTATGTGTGCAAAACTAAGCATGGCATTACACTGTCTGTTTAGAACACAGCCTCCTTACTGTATAAATGTACTTTGTTTTCATTTCAGAAGCAGGTAATATTACAGTGTTTTATGTAGTCAATATTCCACTCAGCATCACTCAGGATGTGTCTGTTACTAAACCTTTTGTGCGTTTGTAGATTTTGAAAGAGAAAAAGCCGCTCACTGATTGGTCCAACATCACCGGCTCCACCCCCTGCATGATGTCACTCAGCCCTCTGACCATTCACAGGGCAGCACAGGTGAGCAAGAGTAATGATGAAGATGATGGTGATGATGATGTTCAGTGATTCTGACACTGGTGATCATGTTGACAGGAGTCTCTGAAGGACTCGTGTAGTTTACCACGCAGACGCAGCTCTCACAGGAAGACCACAGACAGACCCGTGTCTGCGCAAGGTGAGAACAACAACTCTCTAAAGCAGGAGTCACCAATCTCGGTCCTGGAGGGCCGGCGTCCCTTCAGGGTTTAGCTCCAACTTGCCTCAACACACCAGCCTGGATGTTTCAAGTATACCTAGTAAGAGCTTGATCAGCTTGTTCAGGTGTGTTTGATTAGAGTTGGAGCTAAAATCTGCAGGACACCGGTGACCCCTGCTCTAAAGGCTATTCCTCACTGAATACAAATTTTTGTCTGTAAATTTTATACATTAAAAAAAATAATTCTACCTCAAGTTGTATCAGTCAAATTCACACACGATAGCTGCGTCGCAAATCGCATACTTATGCACTATTCTACGCCATTTTGTAGTATAAATAGTGTAAGTAGTGCGTTCACACTGAAAACTCTAATAATAATAAGTGCACTTTAATTACCCTGGATGATGCATTCATTCAGCCGCTAAAGTGAAGTGTGTATTGATGGACACTTCACGCACTCAACGACCGCAGGTTTGCTTACGTAGCGGAAGGGGCGGAGCTATCGGGCGCACATGTTAAATAACTTTATTTGTTTTGGATGGTGAAAGCAAAATTCTCCTACGAAAGTGATTATAGCGCCTCCCGATGGTGAATGCAGGTATTATTTGATAGTTCGGTCGTTTATTTCACTGATTTGGCAACCGTCAAACGTCATCAGGGAAACGGGTTGAATTTCCGCTTATTAGGAAAACATTAGTGGTCCATTTGGGACGACACTACATACATATACTATATTGTTGAGTGTGTAAGTGCATAAGTACAAAGTGCATGAGTGCATAGTGTATAGTGTGCCATTTAGGTCGCAGCTGATCTCCGAAAGTTTTCTCCGTCATTAAAAAATTCAGAAAAAAAAAATTCAGAAAAAGAATTTTGACAGGTGTTTTGACAATAACTGGCCACCGTACAAGCAAAAGGCTAATATATATATATATAAGCAAATTATGGAATATTTGAGCAATATTACTCGAGTGGCAGTGCGGTATGGCTGTATATAGGCACTGCTGGGCACTGCTTTAGCCGTGTCGCGGCTTCGAGCAGCACATCCATTGCCTCAGTCAAAGATTATTCAGTGTGCGTGGTTATTAGTGTCAGTGTACAAGCTCGGCACTTGAAACTAGCACACAGTTGGCTGTAAAATAGAGGTCTGCATTCCGAATAAAGCGCGGGAGCGGCCGATAACCGGTTTAATTTGGGACGGGAGCGGGCTGTCTAGCAAAATTGCTCCCGACTCCCGAGCGAGGACGCTTATGTTTGTGTGTAAATGAAATAGCGCGATGCTGTGTTTAGCTTGTTTGTTGCTGTGTGTGTGTGTGGATGTATGTGTGTGGCATGCGCGAATGAGAGGTGTGTGTGTGCGAATGAGAGAGAGAGCTTTGCCTGTGTGTGTGCGCTTGGTGCTTGTGTGTGTGTGTGTGTGTGTGTGTGTGTTAATGCGCGTGCGCGAATGAGAAATAGAGAGAGAGAGCTTTCTCTATGTGTGTGTGCTTGGTGCTATGTGTGTGTGTGTTTATACAGACAGCTTGTTATAGGCTGTCTGGACTCTGTATAGCTGGGTGGTATTCGCTTTTGTTCTCCCCCCGCTCTTTGGCTGGATCGGGCGCGGCGGGTAGAAAACGGGGCGGGTCGGGCAGCGGGCGAGAGAGGGATTCAAAGTTTGGTCCCGCGCAGATCTCTACTGTAAAACTATACAGAGACACAAATGATTTTGTACTCTCTGCTTGGTCTGTGTCCGAGTCGTACATGTATCCTAGCTTAGCTTCTCCCTGTCTGCCTGTCTGATGTACACACAGAGCGTGGGAGCTCCGCCCCCTTGTTACAATTGGCGGCAAGCCGAAACTAATTTTCATGTGAAGCAACACACCCCTAAAACAACGAGCTGTGTACACACCCACAACATGACACTTTTATAACACATTATAATAAACACATCTGAACTGTGTGTTGAACTGAACCTGAACTGGCACACTCAGAACAACCAGAATATTAATATTAAATCAGAAAAAGTGGTGATTTATGTGCCCTTTAAATTTAACATTATGATATCTGCAGAAACCCTGTTAATATTCTGTGTCAGTTGGAAGTACATCAACATACTGAAATAAATGCCTCTGCAGCTTCCGGGTCATGTGGAGTTTAGCACAGTGCAGTTTTGCATTGTCATCTGGACAGAGAAATACTCATGTACGTGTGGACGTGGCCTGAAACACTCACTCAAATCAGCTTTCAGAGCAGACTGTTGAGAAACAGCTCAACGGCGGAGCGTGTCGCAGCAGATTTGTCTGTGTAAAGGTGTGCCGTGTTTCTGGAAAAGCCTGTAAATCCGCCTGCTGTGCTTTTGTTTGTCTCATATTCCCGACAGTGGTTTATCTGTCAGAACAGCACAGTCTTACACACCGGTGACTCAGACATCATACTAATATCACAGATAATGATTGATGGACTGAATGTGACTTTTATGTCACTTCCTGTTTGATTCCAACCTTTAGAAAATACGGATGGAGGAGAATTAGAGGTGGGGATGTGCAGTACTGGGAAATTGTGCGATATTCATTCATTCATTTCCTTCAGCTTAGTCCCTTTATTAATCCAGGATCGCCACAGCGGAATGAACCGCCAACTTATCCAGCACATGTTTTATGCTCCGGATGCCTTCCAGTTGCAACCCAGTATTGGGAAGCACCCATACACACTCATTCACACACACACACACTACAGTCAATTTAGCATACCCCAGGCATGTCCAAACTCAGTCCTGGAGGTCCAGTGTCCTGCAAAGTTTAGTTCCAACCCCAATCAGACACACCTGGGCTAGCTAATCAAGCTCTCACTAGGCTTTCTAGAAACATCCATGCAGGTGTGTTGAGGCAAGATGGAGATCAAATCTGCAGGACACCAGCCCTCCAGGACCGAGTTTGGACATCCCTGGCCTACCCAATTGTGGGGGAAACTGGAGCACCCGGAGGAAACCCACACGAACACAGGGAGAACATGCAAACTCCACATAGAAACGCCAACTGACCCAGCCGAGGCTCGAACCAGCGACCTTCTTGCTGTGAAGCGACAGCACTACCTACTGCGCCACTGTGTTGCCGACTATTTCAATAACTTATCTTAAATATTTCCTAGTATTTTAAATATATTCAGCATTTTTTTCTATGAAGA